TGTTATGTCAATTAAAAGTTAGGTAGTTTTCTAGGAAAAATTATTAGACCTTCAATACATAGTATAAAACAAAGTCGCTTTCGCTGTATGTCCGTATGTATGCTTAGATCTTTAAAACTACGCAACGGATTTTGATGCGGTTTTTTTTAATAGATAGAGTGATTCTTAAGGAAGGTTTGTATGCATAATACATGCACATTGCACCCGTGCGAAGCCGGGGCGGGTCACTAGTATTAATATAAGTCCTTATTCTTAGGCCTTATTAATGTGTGTAATCACAGATTACTTATATTAAACATTTCAGGGTTAATAGTATACTTACTAATGTTATAAATGCGAAAGTTTGTGAGTATGTTTGTGTGTTTTTGTGTTTGTTACTCTTCCACGTGAAAACGGCTGACGGAATCGAGATGAAATTTGGAACCGGGGTAGATTAGGGTCTAGAATAACACATTTTATATTTATACCACAAGAACGCGGCCGAAGCCGCTGGCAAATGCTAGTAGTGCGTAAAATACTTTAGACAGTGCTCTCTTCAAATAAAGCATTTCCGTATTAAATAAGATCAATGATAAGAAGGCAGACAGCACTGTATTTACAAAGGTGGCTTGTAATCATATCAATAAAAAATAAAAACTGTTTTAATTTGTAATAGTACGAATGTTGATCTTTTTCTTTATAAGCTAATTCGTGTTTTAGTAGAATTAACTAAGCATTTGGACGGAAGGTTATTTAACTCGTCGAGTACCGGTTTTGTAGACACAATTATAGAACAATAGGTTGCGGTCACCGGTGACCGCTTGGTGTTTGACAGTTTAACTCGTTCATATGTGTATATTTGTGAGTAAATGTGACTGTTACGTATTAAAAGTGTGGGAGAGCCATGCTTCGACACAAATCGACCGGAGTGATACCACGGCCTCATAGAAAACCAACGTGAAACTACGCTTGCGTTGTGTTTCGTCGTATGAGTGAGGTTACCGGAGGACCAATTACCCCCCCCCCCCCTTCCCCAATCCTGAATCCTCAAATTCTTAAACCCAAAAGGTCGGTAACGTACTTACAACGCCTCTGGTGTTCCAGGTGTCCATGGGCGACGCCGATTGCTTTCTATCAGGTGATCCGTCTGATCGAATACCGGTTTATACCATAAAAAAATTTAGATTTTAAATATCTTTAAAAGTGCTACTTACTTCAGCATACTCAATCTATACTGCAGGACTGTATCTGTATACCTCCTAGACTCTTAAAGAGGGGTTACCATCATTTCCACGTTTAGCAGGATTAACCCCTACTGCTTGGTCTCAGTTAAAATTACCTCTGTAATCCCTTAGTCGGTTCTCACAAACCCCACGGGAAGAGCAGGGTTGGTCACTCGTGACAAATCTATTCTACGTTGCCATTACCACTCAATTTAGCTACTCACTACACGTCAGCAATCTCTATAAAAAATCGCAGCACAAATATTCACCTCAGTACAGAAAAAAAAATAAGTAAAAATTATGATTGGAATGTTTCATTATTAACACATAAAATATTCTCGTCAGTCGTACGATACAACGGGGACCATTGACCTGTCATTTGGACAATATTTTCATTGCCACACAAACCGAGATAGTAACATTAATTTCAACTTGTATGAACTTCGAAAGAGATTGTTTACAGTAGGTACTGATATTATTCTTGCTGATGATCTAATTAATTTTTATCGTTCACGGAATAACAGACTGCCTCTTGTTTTGTTTATGTTATTTCCTGTAAGTTGTCTTTAACAATTCACTAACCTTTATAAACTTACTTTTACATAATGGGCTTATTACATAACGTCAAGTAACAACACGGCTTTTATTCCTCGCGTTCCCAAAAGGATTGGAAGTCCCATGACTTCTGTAGATGCTAGAGTGTGCGACTCTATTGCCATACATCAGCCGACATTTCTTAACTCTAAGCTTATTATGATAGCTATCAGACCACCACAGATGGGGCTGATGCCGATACGGAGCCCCGAAAGACTTAACGAGTTGTCGAGGCTTCGGCTCGAAGTGCAGGAACAGGAACGGGTGGTTTTTACACAGGAAGAGTCTGACACTCTCTCGCCTCACCCGGGCGAGCAAAGTCATTGGATCATTTTCTCCCCTCAAAAAAAAAGCTTATGATGGTGATGATCTAATAAATTTATAATACTTTTTCAGATGCCTAAATCTGAGCCACGGAGGAATGAACGGGCTGCCGAGGCTCCGGCACGAAGAGCAGAAGCAGGAACGGGGTGGTTCTTGTCAGTAAAAGTCTGACACTACCTCTCGCCTCACCTAAGACGGGAGAAGTCATTGGATGATATTACTCCCTGAAAAAATACTTCTAAATCCAACTCCATCGGCAGTCATGCTTACAACCAGTCGAATAATAGTCGACAGTAATACAGAACTCTTAACCCCTGTATAATTACGGTTAAACCTCTTGTTAAACAGAATCTGTATGCCTATAAATTCAAATAAAAAAAAATTGGTGGTATCTCAGAGGCTTCACTAAAGCAAAGAAGCGCCATTTATAGGCTTTCTGTAAAAAAGAAAAAAGATATCAAAGGAACAATAAATAATGGAAAACGTACATTTAATTAAAGTGGATGTAGGTCTGGTAGCATTCACAATTAATCAAACAAGCCCTGTCATTCATTACCCAGAACGAACTATCAATCAAATTCCAGAAACTTATATATGAATTAAAATTTAAAACACATAATATTGTGGAATGATAATATCGGACAGCGTATACGCACTCAAATTTAGGGGTGTTAGTTAAATGGGATGATAGATACGGTGTGATACGACGGCCGTTCACACTGGCCAGAGGAAGCGCGTATCGTATCAGTAAAGCAGTACAGTTTCGAACTCCACCGTGTCCACACAAGCCCACGATGCGTCCCAGCACTGCGCTTCTCATTGCCGTCTTCTCCTGCATCCAATGTAAGTACTTAAATACACGCCTAACATTAGCCATCGCCAATGCATTTTTATTTTCCAATCAACTAGCGAATTTATTTTGACATTCCAATCTCAAAACTCGCGCTTTTTATATATCTTTTTTTTTTATTTATGGAACTTTTTGAATTCTTTTTTTTTTTCTTTTTTGTTATTCGGAAGTTATCGATTTGTTTTATGGGTAATCGATATTTAATTTAGACTGATACAATATTAATTTTATGTCGTAAGTTATGTATTATCGCTATGCATAGTCAAGTCTCGCGTTTGATAGTTAGATATCAAAGGGTCATTGGTTCATTCGGGTAAAATATATTTTATGGAACGTTTTATTTTAGAACGTGTTGACAGGTGGTCCACAGACATAAAAATAGCTGTATTCTTTCTCTTTGCTTCTAGTCCCTTCGTAGCAAATCAATTTTCACGAGTTTACGTAATATGGTATTATTTATACCTAATGCAGTAACATATAGATGTTTCGAACTGTTTAGATCTGACTGTTCGACTGTTGAAGTGATCAAATTACTAATCAATTAAGGAATTTGGTTTATGGGTCGATTAAGATAACAAGCGACTTTATACCTGGCAATATTAAACTGGACCACAGAACCTTTCCCAACTTTACCTCTGCCCTTATAATCAGAGTCTAAATAGTTTTAGCTACATCTGTTTTCCTAAGATTTAAGTGTGGGAGCCATGCTTCGGTACGAATGGGCCGGCTCGACCGGAGTAGTACAAGGCGTCACAGAAAACTGACGGGAAACAATATTTGCGTTGTGTTTCGTCGTGTCAGTGAGGTTATCGGAGGCCATATTACCCTCCTCCCCAATCTTCTTGACAATCCTTAAATTCCAAATCCCCATAAGGCGGGTAACGGACCTGTAACACCCCTGGTGTTTCGGGTAGTCCATGGGCGGCGGCGATCGCTTACCATCAGGTGATCGGTGTGCTCGTTTACATGTTTATTCCAAAAAAGACTATTGAACTTTAAAAATTCGAAGTTAGCACTAAAGTTTTCCATTATTGAAGCTTAAAAACAGGTTTCAAGCAACTGTTACTTAACACAACATTAGTCCAAAAGTGCTTAAAATTTTCTCAACCGGCAGTATTTTAGGGGTGAAAATTCTTATCCGAAATGTTTGTGCCATATAATTATGGCAACTAGCTGTGGCCAGTGGCCGACATTGTAAAAATTACCATCAACGTTGCAGTTCCTATCGCTTGTGTTAATAATACAATCAATGGCTGTGCAATAAAATTAGTTTCTAATAGTACGATTCACAACTTCAATAATACTAGTTTAAAGCACCTGTTATATTGTTATAATGACTATTGTAAGACAAACTGAATGAACTAAAAATAATTGGTTTACTCACATAAATATACTGAGAAAAGCTCTACTAGTTTCGAGTCACAGATGGATTCATCCTCATGAGCAGCGTGTGCGAACGCAGCGACGTCGCCGCGTCCATAGTAGGCTACAAGAGTCCCTCTGTAACTCAAAACTAGTAGAGCTTTTCTCAGTTTAAAAACGAGAGCCAACCGTTCCTTTTATTTTTCACCTTTTTAACCTCAGGATGCATAGATTGTGGAATCGTAACTCCTACTGCCCCTAAATCTAATAAAAACAGCATGCATGCATTGGCCGTAACTTAGTCAACCACGAGTCATTTCCAAATTACTGAAAATAAAACAACAATCTTATTATAAAGTGCTTGCTTGTCTTGCAGTTTATTTGTCTTGTTGTGATCTGTCAGCTCTGTAGATGCATCAAACTATATGTACTTACAAAATACGAACAGAACGAACAATCAAAATTAAATGTCAGTATCTTCACTTTACAGTCAAAATCCATCCTAATGGCTATGGATATAAAGATGTCAAGGTTGAACTGTATTCACGTGCAAGATACCCTTGATACAATATTGCTGCACGTTGCACCAAATGAAGTTCAGCAATTTTACAATTTAGGGCACTAGGATACGGCCTTGTGCTACTAGATGCCTGGGTCCCTAAGTGCCTTGATGCCCAGCCATTTCGTGCATGCACCGAACGCACTCGAGAGCAAATTGGATCAATTCATAAATAGGTCAGTGTTATCTAACAACCGATGCACTGGTCTAATTGAGAACAGATGCTGTTATCCCCCAAACCAGGGCAAGGATACAGCCTGTACCTAGGGTCCGTAAATTAAACAGGAACCGGTATTATAAACTCATCTACTTATTCTTCTAGCCAGTTGTTTACTTATGACTTTGGTCTAGGGAGTGACAAAATATGTCTGATTATTCAACTTGTTTTGTTGATGACTGGAATTCGAATAGAAATCTCCATAATTTGGTCTGTTTGATTCATATTCAAGTCACTTTATACGTTTAATCTCTTACTAATTAGTCATCATCATGAACAGAGAAAGTCAATTGCTGAACAAAAACGTCTCAAAGATGCTAGAGTTACCGTACCTACATTAGTAAGTAGATAGGTACATAAATGATGTTATAAATATGTTATTTCATAATTGAAGCTCATCATCCGATCCTTTCATTTAACACATCTTCTCAGTCGAACGCAAATCACAGTTTTACAGGATGATGTCCTATTCAGGCCTTATTAGTTACCAATTATAGAGACATTTAACAATAACTGAAAGACGTAGTTTAATGTATGCTGAACTGTCCACGGAACGAGTCTTCCTTACCCCAAGGTGGGAAATCTTTTCGGAGCTCCGAAATGATTTCCCGAATTTCAGAGAAGAGCTTACGGGTACGAAGGTACGTGATCAATGGAACGAGCCTAGCCTAAACCTAACCTAGAAGAAAGTCGTTAGAAATTAGTTGAAATTCTGAATTGATTAATTAAAAAGAGAATGTCAGTGTCGTAATGCAGTGTTGCATACAAAGGATGTATTAAATCGGCGTGGACGGAAACTGGAGATAAAGCATCCCACAGAGGCCCATACGCTTTAATAATGGGCTGAGTAAAGTTGACAAATATATGTACGGTGAGTTTTAGCTCTTTTGTTTATCGTGGTTATTAAATTCTTTAATATTGCCATTTAGGGTCAGAGGAGAATATGTATCACCTTTTTATCTCTTCCCACGAGTGTCATAAAGGCCGACTAAGGTACTTAGAAGAGAGATTGGGCATCGACGCCCCTTCCTTTGGAATGTTACGTCGATGCTGATGATAAATGCGAGGAAACTAATCATATTACGTGCACTAACAAGGATATTCTATAAGGTGTCAATTCGTTCGATCGCGGTCCGCCATGTCATTGGTTTTGAGAATAATCTCGACTCTCAACCAATGACGGGCGACAGAATAGCGGGTGATGACGGGGGAAACCTTTATAAAGCGCCTAGCATTTTGAAGAAAGACTTGTTGAGAATTGTGGAATTTGTACCTCACTCAAACCACCCCGGGCGGTGGCCACCATCAGCACCTGTGTCCTCACAGCACGAACAGTCACGCCGTCCAGGACACGGTCCTCCGTGTCCTCTAAAAAAGACCTCTGGGTGCTTACTCTTGAAACCAATCTCAATGGCAATGCAATTTCAATCCAATAAAAACTCAATAATTATTTAATGCCAAAACTATACAACAACTATACAACTATCGTAGCTGTTAAAATAGCATTCAGAATACGGAATATAAAGCCAACTCAATACCATTTAGATCATACAATATCCACGCAATATGGATGCAAGGGGCGCCAGTGTTGCGACTCAAGAGTATGAAATTTCACAATAACAATGTCGATCGATCGAAATTGGATTCAAGAGTAAGCCCCCTGCTCCGTAGGCCCCACGGTACAACGCCTGTGACGGCACATCCCTAGAATTTTACAGAATAGCCTTGCTGATCTCTTACAGTCTAGGGCTCAACAGTCACTATAGTAGAACGAATTAAAAACAGATTATTCAAGGAACAAACTGTTTATACATATTTATGTACCTACTTACGAACAAATTAAACACAAAAATACTTGAAGTAGGTATAATCGGGTGAGCGAACGAGTAGATACCAACTTAATAATATTTACACGAGGATAAGATTTAATTACTTCAGATGACCTAACCTGTATGACCCAAATGTATGAAACATTAAGCTTCATATTTCCGCACAAAAACATTGTTATTTAATTGCATTGCCATTGGGCATTGACACCCTGAACGCCAGAGATGTTAAAAAGGAATTACCGGCCTTTCGGGGACTAGGAATTTGAGGATTGTTGGGAATTCAGGGATTGGAGAAAAGGGGGGGTGCGTAATTGGGCCTCCGGGAACCTCACTCACACGACGAAACCCAACACAACCGTAGTTTCATGACGATCTTCTGTGGGACCGTAGTATCGCTCCGGTCGAGCCAGCACATTCGTGCTTCGTGCCAAAGCATGGTTCTCCCACATTTAAAAAGTTACAGAATAACTTAACAAAATCTGGAATTTTCTACTAAAGTGCCAACTACAACACTATTAGTGAACAATTTGCATTTCATTAAATACGTCCGTCTATGTCCTTGGGAAATTAACTATAATGTATGGACATGATGATGGTAACTATAGAGTACAAAACAATTGTCACCTACCCATCATTCTGCTTTCTGATAAACCTGAACCATACTCCAATCTCGAAGCCACCTGGCAACCATAAAAATAATGGCAAGTCCACGTCCTACATCAGTCTAGAAAGCTGGTCCTTAATTCTAGGACTTACATAATTCCAATTTCAGGGGACGTAGTACGATTAAAGTAATCGAAAATAAACCGTCGGCCGGTTCTTTGGAGCCGGCCAATCAGAGCGCCAAATACTTTATACGTAATAAAAACAAGTCGTACTAAAGCCTTAGAACATGGGTAAAAGTGTAATTTTAAACTTATGAACAGTGACACATATATTATACCAGCGTACTGTGTAATTCCAAAACTAATTCTGTTCTCAATACACTTTCCAGTGGCAGTATGGGCCTGCGATGCAGACCAAGCTCACAACGGATGCAAGATCTACGGAGCATCGTGCACGTGTGGGTACGGATGCAGGACGGAGTTCATCTATAGGACACGAAGGGCGTGCCTCAATGCATTGAGAGGTAAGAAAGAGCCTTGTATCATGATCGTCATCAACAGCCTAAGAATTACACACCCACAAAAAAACTACTAACCCAAAGCTTCTTCTCGCACGCAGAAGGTTTGAGCATTTATCACCACGCTTGCTCAATGCGGGTTGGCAAGTTCAATCTTATAATTATAAGCCCAGGTTTCCCCCCGATGTTTTCCTTCACTGTTTGTGAATTGTGTCTAAATAATAGAAAGTAATACATAATTCGAAAAATTCACATTGGTAGTTGTCGTTGGTAGGTTTCGAACCCGCACTCCGGGCCACCTCTGGGCCACCACGACACTAAAGCCTTGTTTAAGATACACAGATCTGAAAAACTCCTGCCTAATCTTCATTTTTCCCTTCATCATCACCATGTCCATAAACCATGTAAATGAATAAATACAAATACTTGTATAAGTAAAAAAAAAAAACAAAACAATAATGATCAACTAAAAAGAGTAATGATAAGAACAAAGAAACAACAGAGTATAATTAACAAAATAGTGACAATGCAATAATGACACAGAAATTAAATATTAATAAAACAAGATATAAATTACCAATTTTGAGAAGGCACCCTGATCTTTCCTGATCTTTTTCTAATCTTCCATAACAAGAAAATCTCACATTTTGACTTAATTGCAGTCTAAGACGTATGTGTATCGTGTGCAAAATAAATCCATCTCACTACCCAATATACCTCATAGTTTTACTATTTAGATACACAATATATTCAAAATCTTATCGTCGTATTTTATTGGCTGTACAAATTTTTCCTTATATTTTTTCAGAAAGGAGTTCAAATATTTGTAGCCGCCTACCATGCTTGAGAGGAAATTGTATACAAACTGTTCAAGATCCAGGCTTCACTTGTAAATGTGAAGGTACCGGTTTCTACGGGCAACGCTGCGAGAAGGGTAATTTTTTTTGGAATAGTTATAGACTTTCCTACCACAAAAGTGTCCCCAGTACCGCTGAAAGCACGCAAATAGTGATCCTAGAATAATCTATGTGCAGTGCCATAACTAAACCACTCGAGGACTGTGGCAAAGTCACCTGGTGGTCCTCCCTTACTAATATCTTTTTTTACTTACTTAAAACGTTGGACACTAGGATTTTCTCATATGTCGTGGGTGCGTTTACAAACATACAATATTACATACACATGACACCTAGATCCGAAACAACAATTATAAATCACACAAAGAGTAGCTCCGTGCGGGGATCAGACCCACTGTACGTTGCTCGGCGCCAACCGTGCAGTTAGAATAGAAAAAGAGAGAGTGCAGAAGAGAACCCCTGGCATTTAGCCCATTTGGCACCCTATAGTTACGCCGCTGCCTATGTGATCTGTTAAACAACTCAAAACCTCATAAGCTACCTTCGAAAACCCACTAAGGATGAAGTAACTACCTTCTACTTTCCATGCAATACGGAAGGCAAGTAGAAGGTAGTTACTTCTCGATAAATAATCACATTCACATCCAGTTGGTTTAAGCTCAATGCCGGCCCCAAACTTGTTGGCCAAAGGCGCCGATGTTATTAGTAATGTGCCGCTATTGAATAAGGATTGTAAAATAGTTGGTAATAATAAGAACAGGATTGAAAGAAAGAAAAAGCATTTATTTGGCACATGGCACACAAACAAAGATTATGAAAAATAAAAAAATATATATACTTACACAAATACATAATATCAATAGCAAACATAAAAACATAAAGAAAATAACAAAAATTATCAAAATATAAGAAAATAATGTACATACAATATGAAACAATTGAAATTAGTTTTTGATATAAAGACAAATTAAATACACAAAAAAAAACACCATAATATAAATAATATAATACTGCGTGTGCACATGCCAAAAGGGCCTCCACCTCAGCATATAGTTGAGCATTCCTGCCCAACGCTGATTTTCAGGTGGCACCCTGCAGTGACTCACGGACGGCGGTACCGCCCCTCAATAAGGAAAAGAAAATAAATTTAAATATGAAATTAGATAGATAAAATAAATTCTGCAGACTATGTGTGCGTATGTGTGTGAAAAGTTGTGATTAGAAAAATGTATAGATCAAATAGTAAATGTAAATTCAAACAAAAATGTAAAAATGCATTTATAAGAGACCAAGATATAAGACTTATGTAAATACGAACAAAATGTAAAGATGCACTTTCTATATTTACTCTTTTTTTAATTAACTGAGGGTATTACATAACCCTTGAGTCTCATAATCGTCATAACCCTTGAGTCAGCCAGCCACCGTAAGCTGGATGTTCCGTAACAGGCTTTTCATCTTGCTTTTTGCACATAAAGTGTGGAAGAATCATGCTTCGGCAAGTAGGAGCCAACTCGAACAGAGTGATACACGACCGACCGAGAGTGATATCACAAAAAACCGACGGGAAATAACACTTGCGTTGTGATTCGTCATGTGAGTGAGTTTACTGAACGCCCAATTACCCCTCCCCAACCTCCATAATCCGCAAATCCCCAACAACCATTAAATTCCTAATCCCAAAAGGCTGGTAACGCACTCTGGTCATGATAAAAATGGGGGCTCTAAAGCTGGTGTATTAGAGAACCCGGTGACATTTACAGGTGCTGAGGGTGGCTACTGGGATGTAGTGGATTAAGTGAAGTAAAAATTCCACTCTCCCCCGTCTGTCTCCTCAATTAATTAGGTGCATATTGAAAATTTCCCCCGTCATCAAACTTATCGAATTTTTCGTATCTTTAGAATTAGAAGCCGTCCAAAAGACACTGAAGGTTCAAATTGCTTTGTGAAGAAACTTCTCTATTGCATTTTTGTATGACTATAACATTATGAACCACTCTGAACACATTATTTAAAATACTAAGTTTGAAATGACTAAATATAGTTTATAAATTGAATATTTTTATTTTTACAGCCTGCCCAACCGTACCAGTGCGCGGCATGATCTTCCCCCACGAGTGCATCGTCATCTGAAGCCCATAGACAAAAACTACAGAAGCACCCATATTTATTTAGTCATCTAATCTATCCTTTATGTACAGTTTCAACAAATCCATTGTTAACTTAAGTATATTATTTTATCTGACCAATTTATTCCGAAATAAAGTTACACATTATTGAAAAGATTTTTTTAAGGAAGTAGATTTAAACCTTCTTGTGATAAAACTTCTTGTACCCACATTCCACATCATTCATCCCTGCAAATAACCTTTGCTAGTTGCTACTGATTGCCTGACTACGTCCTTACGTAAACCTTTTATAGTTTTTTTCTATGAAATAGAAAAGCTAACGGGTAAAGAAGGATCACCTGATGTTAAGCAATCAGTTATACGCCAAACAAGTGCATTTATAGCCTTTTGATGGTGTATAGAGGATTGTCAATGTTTTAATAATGTCACAAGAGACAATAACAGACAATAATCATTTTTACGAATAGTTATTACATATGTACCTAATATTTATTACTTAATATATTTTAGAAAATATATTCCAAACAAAGCATTCAAATAAGATGGTATTTTGAAAAAAGATCACCTAAAGATTACAAATTGAAAACAAATGAGTAGAAATCTGAAATATCATATTAATGTCCATTATAAAAAGTGAATGACATGCAGTACTTAAGTAGTGTTTCAATCAAACAAACAATAGTCAAACGACATGCCAGTATAACCTAATAATTAAAATGTATTTTGAAATAATTTTGAACAGAATACAATTTTAAAGCTACCGGAACCGGAAATTAGCTACGAACTACAAATAGGTAGCCGTCTCATGTCACATGTTTTGACGTAACTTGCGTCTCACTTACTCTTTAAGATAGTAAATTATGTATACTCACTTACTCACAGGAAGTCCTGTCCGCATTGACAGCTTTCATCGATCTGACATTTAGGTAGCAAATAATTGTTACCAAATTGGTAGAAAATAAGATAAAAATATTAAGTCATATAATTTATAATTTCTTAATTGTATATGATTTGTATATTAAAAATGATGGAATGCTTAAATTTCTTTTTTAATAAATAACTATATTACCGCAACCTGATGAGATACGAACCTGCACGAACTATTCCTTGGAAACTAGGTACAAAATATATAATTTGAATGACAAATATTGATAGGTATCATAATAGCATAACGGAGATCTAATTTGAAAACTAATATAGATAGTATTTTTTCTACTGTAGTAAGATTGTACCGTAAATTCTACTAACCAGTTAGTTAAGTAGAATTTTGTAAAATTTACTGGTTACACTGAAATTCGGAGCCGGCCGGTGCGGTCATTTCAAAATAATTCGCGCAGCGGTATTGTGCGGACGTATCTGAGCACCCGTGTCTGTGCAACCCCATAGTAGTGTTCCATATAATAAATCAATCAATCGATTCATACCCATGAAGCCCAAAATGGACGCCAGGCGAAGGGAGGCATTGCGGAGGATGACGGAGGCATTAAGAGCCGATCTATACGAGGACTATACTAGTGGGGAGTGGCAAACTAACCCTGTTCGAAACTTTAAGATGCTGTACAAGTACAATACGGCGAATTGGCTAACCATGCTCCTCATTGGTAAGGATCCAAACGAGTCTGACCTTAAAAAAATTCTGGAGCGGCTGAGGGCCTCGATGATTAAATATGAAAAACTGCACCCAAGTGGAGATCCTGGGGCTGAGGCCTTCATTCATAGCATGTTCGAGAATGTTTACAACTTGTAAGCCTCGCCAAGCGAATTTGCTGCAACCCACCGCGAATTTCTATTATTTGCTGATTATGTGACTTGATAGATTATGCTGCAATAAGTATTATGCTAAAATTCAGGAAAAATTGAGAAGCTTCTAGGCGATTGTAACACCACATCAAGAATACCTTACCGAAAATTACTTGATTCACTTGTGAATAGCGCTTGAAAGACCAGAAAAGGTAAAAAACAGATACGAAGAAATCGAAGCACATGATATTTTCCTGGAATTGATGTTGCTAAAGTAGAAGTACTCAACATTTAGGCCGTAGTGTGATAGAATTTAAATATTATTTATGCTTATTGTAATACCAACCCCTGTCCCGGCTTATTGATGTTTAAAAAATAAATAAAAAATGTAAATGGTGTTTTATTTCCCGAAAGTACCTAATCTGTTAATCATTTAACAATGAACACACACAGATTTACACAACTAAAAAAAACAAAAATATATTTAACAATAACTCTGATAATGTCTTTAACTGTGGCCTTTCACATCCATAATAATATTTCTACATACTTAGAATAGCTATCATCATGCACACCACGATACATACTGTACATCTGCCACTCAATTGAAAATTTCTCTTGCACCTTGTCTAGAGGAAATATTAAATACTCGACATGATTCTGGAAGAGGTACCTAGTTGTTTATAGAACAACACTTCAAAGTATGTAAGTACCTAAATCATTTAGGGCAAGTAAGTATTTGAATGTCTTTGAGGAGTGGCTTGAGAGACGCTACGGCGGCCTCACCTACCGCCTGACGCAGGTCCTCACCGGACATGGGAGCTTCGGGACGTGTGATAGAGCGGAAGGAAACGCCCGGGTATCATCACTGCGAGGACCACCCTGAGAACACGTTGGAACACACTATAGGGTCATGCCCTGCGTAGCCTGAGTACCGTCCTGCCCTCAGGGATGTGATCAGCGACGGCGAACTCTTGCGTTCGGCTCTAGTTTGAGGCATGATGCGGAGCGGAGAAGACTGGGATGCCGTCTCCTTCTTTTGCGAAGCAATCATGCTAGCTAAGGAGGTGGCAGGGTTAGTGAGGCAGCAAAGCGCTGCCTCCTTATAGCTCAACCGTCGCAAAGGACACTCCGGGCGTCGGGAATCTCGGGACGATCACCGGCCACCGGAGCGGCACCGCCAGCACGGGCCTGCGGACGTCGAGCATGGGTAGCTCGCCACCCGACTAGAACCAGCCCCAAGCGTTCGGCGCGTCGCGTTCCGCGTGCGCCCCAAGGAGCCATCAGACCACCACAGATGGGGCCAGGGCTGATGCCGATACGGAGCCGCGGAAGACTTAACGGGTTGCCGGGGCTCCGGCTCGAAGTGCAGGAGTAGGAACGGGGTGGTTTTTAGTCAGTAAGAGTCTGACACTCCCTCCTCGGCCTCACCCTGGCGGGAGAAGTCATTGGATAATATTCCCCCCTCAAAAAAAAAAGGGGTTACCATCGGCGTTGAGACGACGATGAAGTACCTAGGACTCGTTCTCGAGAGGGCGGGGGCTGCGTTTAAGCGCATCCTCCCTTACCTCGGGGGGCCAAACGCCTCTTGCCGGAGGTTATACGCCGAGGTCGTGCGGTCCATGGCCCTCTACGGCGCCCTTGTGTGGGCGCCGAACCTGTTGCGGCGTCCCGCTCGGACGCTGCTCATGGCACAGATGGTCATGGCGATCCGAATGATCCGCGGATACCGCACGATCTCCGGGGAGTCGGCGAACCTCCTTGCCAGATTACCGCCGTGGGATCTGGAGGCGAAGGTGCTCGCGCGCGCGTATCGCAGATAAGTGCGTGGCGGGATGAGCTCCGGCGCGATCTCATGGCGGAATGGCAGCAACGGTAAGTCCCCTCTTTGAGGAGTGGCTTGAGAGACGCTACGGCGTCCTCACCTACCGCCTGACGCAGGTCCTCACCGGACATGGAAGTATCGGGAGGTTCCTGTGTCTGATGGGGCGGGAGGAAACGCCTGGATGTCATCACTGCGAGGACTGCCCTGAGGACACGATGGAACACACTGTAGCGAAATTCCCTACGTGGGCTGAGCACCGCCGTGCCCTCAGAGAAGTGATCGGCGATGGCGACCTCTCGCGTCCGGGCCTAGTGCAGGCCATGATGCGGAGCGTGGGGGACTGGGATGCCATGTCCTCCTTTTGCGAAGCAGTCATGCTAGCTAAGGAGGAGGCGGGACGCGTGAGGCAGCGAAGCGCTGCCTCCTCGCAACCCAGCCATCGCGAAGGACACACCGGGGTCGGGGATCGCGGGACGATCTCCGGTTACCGTAAGCGCGGGCCTGCGGACGGCGAGCATGGGTGGCTCCCCGTCCGACCAGAAACAGACCTGACCCGCGTACGGCGCGTTGTGTTCCGCGCGCGCCTCAAAGAGCCATCAGACCACCACAGACGGAGCCCATTAGGGCCGATGCCGATTCGGAGTCGCGGGGAACCTAACGGGTAACCGGGGCTCCGGCTCGACGTACAGGAGAAGGAACGAGGTGGTTTTTAGTCAGTAATAGTCTGACACTCCCTCCCGCCTCACCCAGGCGGGAACAGTCATTGGATGATTTTGCCCCTAAAAAAAAATGGTCAACAAGAATGAATAGGTATGTTGGCATTTTGTCGTGGTTCACCAATCCGCTTCATTCTCTTGGGTTGACTATTATTATTGTTTCTGCCAGTGATTCTCTTGTATGATGAATGATACACAAATCAAAACCGTCTACAGGTCATGGTTCAACCGAAATTTATTTTAGATGCTTCTACGATCCATAAAATCGCACTTAAATAGGCAGTGTTCGGGAAACTACGCAAAATCTTCTTGTCCAGAACACCATAGTGCCTGAAGACTAATTTATAATCAGTAGAGACCGGATAATATGCATTTGCATATTTGCATATGCATTTGCATATTTAAGTGATTTTCAAGGCTAATAGCATATTTTTACTAATATCTAGTGATGATGCATATTATTGCTATAATTTACAGTAGGTAGGTATTTTTCGAGCGTAGCGCACGAGCAGCCGCGCGTATTTTGTTTTGGTAGGTACTCAAAAAATGAAAGAGACAAAGGATCGCGCCGCCGCGCGCTCGCCTACCGCGCTACTCCCACCTATTATGCATGTCGTTAATTACTTTGATTGTTGACACGCTCGTGCTCGGATAATTCACCTGCAATTAAAAGTTATTGTGTGTGTACAATGCCTCCCGAAAAAAAAAGTGTGCCTTCGTGGATAAGTGAATTTCCTGGAACATTTACTTACGACGGAAATGTTTTATATTGTCGAGTTTGCGAGAAAAACATTTCGTGCACTAAAAAGTTTCAAATATACCAACATGTCAAGACAAGTGTTCACGTCGCAAAATACTTAAATCTAAATAAATAATATTTACAAAACAAAAAAAAACTCATTTAATGTTGCATATTCTGTCAGTTTTCGTGCATATTTTAGGCATTTTTCATGCATATTTGCATGCATATTTCAAGCTTTTTATGTTGCATATTATCCGGTCTCTAATAATCAGTGTGTCTAGATTTATGGAACTGAAGCGTGGTTTTTCACTATGGGCCTTATAAGAAAGCTCAAGGTCACACAGCACGTATGCGCCGCTTCAGCAAATCAGCAGACGGATCATCTGATGGTAAGTAACGGAGCTACTCTTGTACACCAGCAACGCCAAAGAAGATACAGACTTTTGACTTGTTTTTCATGTCAGTTTTCTGTAAGGCTGTGGTAGAAAGGCTGTGGCTGTGGTAGGTATCACTCTGAACGAGCCGGCTTAATGGTGACAAATCATTGCTCTCTCACGCTTTGCTTTAGTCAGTGTGACACCCACAGAACATTGAGGTGTTATGGGGTTGCGTGTTCCCATACAAAGCTTCACAAAAATGAGGCACCTCAATGTTCGGTTTAGGTTTATCATTTCTGTAGACTTTATAAGCCTTGCAAAGGGTTTTTACCAGAACCTCAAGCTGGTTACAGTTTTACATGTACAAAATGTGCGTCCATGAACTGATTGTTTCACAATGATAAAATAACTTCTTTCTTTTCCTCTTTCGTCGATATAGGCAGTCACAGTAATTTCTTAATTAAATCGAGACGGTGTAACGGGTGTGAGACGCAATACGAAAGAGAATTGGATAGTGGAATGATAATATGAGATATCAGATCTCAAAAAAGGAGAATTCAATAAGTCATTAATTGTTGTTATACTTTTTGTTTATCGGAAAGGGTATTTCAAGAGGCGCCTAGTTTTAAATTGGAACGGTCTTTGATCTTTGGCTAGAAAGAGTTTGACGAGACTATCATGCTCAAACTTCCAGCGGCGCACCAGTTACTTCTTTAGGGAATTCTCTCTGACGTCAACTAGTTTGTACTTAGCGCTTAATGAAGTAGGACTCTGTCCAAATACTCAAGCGCCCCCAATTTTAAATCACGCTTGAGTATAGTTCTGTCACTACAACCTATTTTGATAGAGATGGTACGATATTTAAGTACAACTTAAAATTTGGAATTTCTTGAAGTCGTATAACAAATGAACGGTCTTGAAGCAACTAATTTATTTCCAACATAGTATCGCATCCAGCAGAAAATCCATCCATAAAGACCCAAGGGTCAACGTCTGTGACAGGAATAAGCTATAGATAGATTCACTTGTCGAGTAATCTTTTCAGTTCACGAGTCAATTGGCAGTTGCTACATAAAAGATGCATAAATTGAAACCGGCACTTGTTGGACTGCAGCTATATTATTCTGTAATTTCCAATTTGAAAGAACGAAGTAGACTTGCTTGCGTTTCGCCATGTCGTTGGTTGTGAGAATAATTCAACCAATAACGAGCGAGAAGGCGATCGATTTACTTCGAAAGTTCGAATTTATAGTTACTTGAATTGTCAGTTTGGAGTTAACTTGCGGCCAGTGCAATAACCTATCCATCTTCAGATTTATGTTCATACCCACTAGAGATATAACTAGTATCGTACGAGTCAGATATGAGACTACTCATTTTACAAAGACAGAGCAGGAGGACTCTCTGTTGAACCTACGAATGGGCCGGCTCAACCGGAGTGATACCACGGCCTCACAGAGAACCGATGTCTAACAATACTTGCGTCGTGTTTCGTCGTGATAGTGAGGTTACCTGAGGCTCAAATTCCCCCCTCCCCAATCCCCACAATCTTCAAATTCTTAATTCCCACAAGGTCATTTACGCACTTGTAACACCTCTGGTGTTTCGATTGTCGATGGGCGGTGCCGATAAAGGTGCCGTAAATTGATCCGTCTGCTCATTTATGAGCGTATTCCATAAAAGAAGACAATTATACGCCGATCAATCTGTGCCGTCCAAGAACGCATGTAACACCAGAGGTGTTACTAGAGCTTTGCCGATTATTTAGTATCAATTTTCTTTAATCTGCCATGGGCAGAGATTATGGCCTAGTGGACTTTCACGAGCTGTTGAAGATAGCCTATTATGGGGCCTAGTTCGACTAAACCTGAATGTTTAATATTATTTCTATTTTTAAATATAACCAAGTTTTTAGCAGATTTCTTCTTCCTAGCTAACTTTTGTAAAAAGAAGTACCTACCTAGTATGTTCATGTATTTTTACACGTAGGTACGCTAGGTGATTGTAATACCTATCTGACCTTAGGGTTACGCAGAGAAGAGTAGGTGCTAGGAACAAGTAAGTAAATGATTAAATTTAAATATCTTACAAGATTTAAGTAAAAAGAATATGTATTTAACGCTTTGTTAGTTGCATCGACCAAGACAGAGGCCTCAGTTTCTTAATTTCTTTACGACTGAGTATCGATCGCTCTATCAATGAGATTCTAAAAATAATCTAAGGGCTGACCTCTTTGGCTCTCTTATACTAGACAGAGCTAGGGCTCATCTCTCAACACGATATGACAAGGAACAGGGCTCACAGCTGAAATCATAAGGAAATAATCATCACACTATAAGTCAAAGAATTTGAATATTTATAAAGTTAAAGTCAAACGGATTAGTTTGTATCTTTTTACTAAGTATCAGAATAATAAAGCCTAATGAATATAATGATCTATGAGCTATAATGATGGTAGGTCTAATTAGACTAACCGGCAGGAGGTATTATATAATGTTATACTTAATAAATTACGAAATAATATATTTGATCTTAATGAAAAAAATTAAACTAGCATACAGTTCGAACTATGTAAAAAAATCATAGGTACTAATAAACTGTCAGATTATTATATCTGTATACTAGCGACCCGCCCCGGCTTCGCACGGGTGCAATATGCATGTATTATACATACAAACCTTCCTTAAGAATCACTCTATCTATTAAAAAAAACCGCATCAAAATCCGTTGCGTAGTTTTAAAGATCTAAGCATACATACGGACATACAGCGAAAGCGACTTTGTTTTATACTATGTATTGATATAAAAGAAAGTCATGTTAGTTACACTATTTCTATCTCAAGAATGGCTAAATCGATTTGGATGAAAATTGGGACGTAGCTAAGAACCAGAAAACGGACATAGGATCCTTTTTACCCAATATTTTTTTTTTACTTTTTACCGAAAATCAAGAACGAGAACGGGAAATATCGCGATTGTGCGTACGAAGTCGCGGGCAGAAGCTAGTTGAAGATAGAATGCTTGGCAACATGTTGGTCCGGCTCACTAGACAATACTCAATTAACTCAGTATTTACTCATACTCTAAGGATTAGTCTTAATTCCAATGTAATCCAGATATCTTGTGGCATCGACCATTATTTTTTGTTTTTGTTCTTTTATTTAGGTAGGTGTACGATAATACACTGAAATACCCAAGGATTTTTATTTGTAGGTACAGTACCATTATTTTAAATTGTAAGTGTACATATGTATGTACAATGTACATGCCCACATACATACCTACCTATGTAGGTATGTGGGCACCAAAATTTTGACGTTGTATTGTCATTACATCGTTCTCACTTATGTAGGTATACATTAGGTAAAGGATCAGATAATGTATCAATGAGACTGTAAAAATCATTTTTTTTAATGAGTAACGATTGGTTTTTTTTCGTTCGTCTCCATTCAAAACTACACTTTGGAACGAGCGCCTAGCTTCACTGACTGACAGACGGACGGATAATTCAATTTTTGACGTTTCAAAAGTGCCTAATTAATAATTAGGTAATTGAAATAAATGCTTTGACTTTTACTTTAACTAGTCAAAGCAAAGTAGTCAAGGCTCCTATGTGCAAACACAGGTGCTCTCTCAGTTCCCTAACTCTTTAAACCCATTCGGACGGCAGATTTACACGACCGGAGAGAGCTCAGGCGCAGGACCAACGGTTGTACGTGTCCGAGGCACCAGGGTGGATACACCGCTGAAGTTCATTGACCTGACTCCAGGCTAATAATGGTCATATATTATTCAGAAAATACCACTATCATATTTTCCCCGATGCGGGAATTGAACCCGCGACAGGCACGGCAGCTACTGTATAATAAGATAGTAGCTATATTTAGTAAGAGTCCATCTAGATAGTAAGATCAAGAGATCTGAAAGAGATTCTGACTGAGTAAGATATCTTGATCATATTGATTTAAAAAAAAAATAGTGACATGCTGGTTTCAAATTAAAAGGAATCGCATATCTGCTGCAAGAGCGTTTCTCTGCAGGCTGGAGGGCGGTGCTGCCTACTGCATGCTATTACCTCCTTCACCATAATAAAAACTAAATATTTTCCCCGATGTTAGTCTAAAAGGATTTCATAAAACATCACCATTCTATCAGTTTTAACAAAAGGACTTTATTTTTATTTTCCACTGGTGCCTGATGTTTTAAATTCTGTCTAGGTCAAACCAAGTTACAGTAAGACCAATTGCAGCGATAATTTGTATTGGCGCCTTTAAAAGAATAGTATTTTGTATTTGTTAAGTGTTTATTTTTTTACTCTTATTACTTAAGTACTTATTCCAGTATCTACAATAAATCAAATAATCAAAATAAATTACCACAAAGTTTATTTTTATTTTATAACATGCACTGTTCATCGTTAGGGAACGACTACATAAGTAAGTAACAAAAAACAAATTCAATAATCCGTAGGACTTATTATTTATTTCATTTGCTTGTATATTGATTGAAAGACCATCTATGTCAAATCTTACGTTCGGAACTCTCTGTACATATTTTAACTTGCAGTCTTAGTCGCCATGGTTACATTGGCTACCTTCAAGACGCCATATTTTTATTTACTGCAATGTTACTTGGCAACACTCGAACATGGCATTACGTTTACGTCATTCTAATGTCAAATGAAGTAACGCGAAAGCAGCCGAAGTCTGAAGTCGCAAGTCGCCGAACTAGTAAAGTCATTGTCTTGCTGGCCTTGTTGCTTGTTGCTAACTTATGTTCTAGTTCTTTTAATTATTTGTTTTAATTCAAATAATACCCTATAAATAGTGCCGTTGTGTGTGTTAAAATTTTGAAGTCAAAGGATACAAAATTCCAGGTAAGAATTATGTAAATCCAAAGAATAGTTAAGTGCTACGTTACCGTATATAACGTATTTTTGTTTACAAGAGAAACTTTCTGTCATTGTTATTCTTTTGTTGTCAAAAACATTAGAATTACGCTGTCATTTGTTTCTTAAAAATCATCCAATGACTTGACAATATTTTTAATTATTTCTCTAGTTTCGTGTCGGCTTTTAAATCGGCATCGTTTGCCAAAAAGAAATAAACATACATAAGGTGTTGTAAGTGCCAAAGTGGCTTAGAAAAAGACTATTTGATAAACTTAATTTTGTTAATGTTAAAACATTACTTTCTTTATTATAATAGTAATCACATCAATTTGCTTGGATTAAAAAGGTTTCCTGGCGAGAATGTGATACACTATAACATACATATTTTAATAGGGGTCAAAGTTACATACCTACTTACTCATTAAGATAATTATCTACAACACTGTAGTAGGTACACACTTACCATTTCCATTAGAACACTCAATTTGCAAAAATCTTTCTGCCATTTCAAATGCATTTTATTAAAAATATCTGGCAGGTGACATAACAACCTTTAAATTTAAAAAAAATGAATTAATTAATTGATGAACCATGCTCCCTCCAAGTCACCTTCTTATTTCAAACCTGTTTTTATTAATTACTAGCTTTTACCCGCGGCTTCGCTCGCGTCAAAAGGATAAAATGTAGCCTATGTGACTAAACCAATACACACAGCGCGATCTATACCAATAATTTAGTTTTCCCTCTAGAATATCTTCCGGGATAAAAAGTAATTTAGTTTTCCCTCTAGAATATCTTTCGGGATAAAAAGTACCCTATTATTTAATCCAGACTTCTAACTTTACGTCTGCAAAAATTCAAAGCAATCGGTTTAGTAGTTACGGCGTGAAAGCGGAACAAATAAACAAACAAACAAACTCACTTTCAGATTTATAATATTAGTAAGGATTTTCTACTGCTATCATTTTACTCTATTTAGGTACATTTAATATTGTCTTTATTAGTCATAATTACCATTCTCTATGGGTAATTATTTATCTACTTAGTTTCAATGAGGAATTCCAGTATTATAACTTCTATCAATATTCAAATGATACATAGCAGAAACATATTGATACCAATATTTAATACAAGTACCTACATACTTAAATATTTTACATATAAAATGTACACCATAAAAAATAGATACTTATTTGGAGTTGTTCCTATTGGCTCCATCAAGTAGAATTAATTATTACTTATGTTCATCTTACTGGATGTATTACTTGTGTTCCATACACTATACCTTTCCCGAAAGATACTAACAGTTGAATAATAAAATTCAAAGATGACTCTAGTTAACCAAGCAACCAATACAAATTGTAATATAGATTAAATACACATATGAATCATTTTATTAGTATTGTAAATGAGCATTGCAAAATAAAACATATTCCCAAAACCAAAGTCACTATCAGCAATTGATAAACAATATAGACAACGAAGTTGTACGAGAACAATACAGGACTAAGTATGATTCATAAACACTCATCTGTGCTCTAAATCGAAACAATAGCAATATTAAAGTAACAATGTGTTATAAAAGACTAGTTTGATCAAATAACAATCTTTTTATTTTTATTGATAAAATATTCATAATATTTTTACGATTTACTTTAAAAAATGTATTACTATGCATACAATATTGGTGCACTCCGAACACTCACTCTCATGATCTAATCAAAAGACAGAAATCACAAACAATCAGAGATCCGATCAATAAGTTAATGGATTAAAATGCATTGTCACAATTAATATTTTTTATATTGACCCAAGGCTTTTTTCTCAGGATGGCCTGGACAGGTTACCAGAAGTTCCTAGCTGCAATGCTAGTAGTTACGGGGTCCATTAACTCCCTGAGTACGAAATGGGCTGATAAATTGCAAGCTAAGGGCTCCGATGGACAGATACGTGAATTTGAACATCCGTTCCTTCAGGTACGTTCCTATTCTTGCTATATTCTGTTTGAAATATTTGTTAAATGTGAGTCTAATATAGGTTTTTGTTGTTCATTTTAAAGCAATGTTACATGTCTATTTCAACTTGAAAATGTAATCTCAAAACTAAATGCACAGTACAGTGAACGTAGAATGGAACTTTGTGTTAGTACTATTTCCAAATGAGTTTCAAACTCCTAAACTTTGTTCCGTTGAAATTGCACTGGACAAAGTTGTACAAAGCTAACCAATTAATTCAAATGCACAGTTTCAAAACAAACGTCAAAGGCTTCAGAGTTCTAGGTTTTGTCACAGCATTTTCACCCTTATTGAGGTAGTATTTTAGTAGGTACTATTTTGTAGCGTTATCTAGGTTGTTTTACATTTGGTGTTTCTTTTACGTTGAAATAGGCGGCGGCCATGTTTCTCGGGGAGATGCTCTGCCTGCTGACATTCAAGCTGATCTACTACAAGACGAAGAATACTGGAGGGCATGCTCTTACCAATGGCAATCAGAACTTCAACCCGTTCATCCTAATGCCGGCTGCAATGTTTGACTTGGTAAGTAAATACAGCTAGTACGCGTAAACATCTAATGGACTCAAAAATAGACTGTAAATATTTAAATTTATGATTAAAAAACAACTCACGCGTGCTTTTTAGAATGTGTGGAGAGTATTATTAGTATTCCGGTAGTTGTACACTGAGGAATACTAATAGATAATTCGAAAAACTGTATCCAATTAGATACTAACACGTGTGGGCTAAAATTTCGTCAATCTTGTGCTCCGATTGGACCATTTAAATATTTTTTCATGAATTAGTTACGCATATGCCCTGGCTGATGTTTAACTTATTTCGCTCGTTTACTGAAAGGAGCAGACGCATCACTTAATTGATGACAAGCAATCGTACCCGCTAATGGACGACCCGAAACACCAAAGGTGTTACAGATGCGTCACTGGCCTTTTGGGATTATAAATTTGAGGATTGTATTCAGGGATTGAGGAGATTAAGGAAGAAGGTAATTGGGCCTCAAGTAACCTCACTCATACGACGAAACACAAAGCAAGTGTTAGTTCGCTATGCGGTTTTCTTGAGGCTGTGGTATCACTCCGGGCGTGGCGGCCAATTCGTGCCGAAGCAGCCCTCCCACACTTATTATGTTATTTGGGGGCTGTGGAAAAATTCGGAGACTTTTAGCCCACATAGCCTTTATGCGTTGGCGTGGAGAATAGTTGGATGATCTCAATCTAAACTGTCGCGTTTATAGCTATTCGGTAGCAAATCATCTAATTTCGATAACGTATTATCGACACGTTATCTAAAACACTGGTGCATGCTGTACTCATCTTATAAATTCTGTCACGTTCGTCTTGATAGCCTTGGATTCCTCTCTCTATTCATTGAAATGATCTCCCCACTGCTATTTCTAAATTTTAGGTCCCGCAAAGCCACTTTTTGCCAGCCAGACGGCAGTCTTATTTTATCTTCTTACCCCAGTTCCTTTGAAGTTCCTAACCATTTTATTCGTACTTTCCTCTTCAACAATAAACTACTCGAACCAGCCACTAGACTCTACACGCTTTGACGTTGAGAATTGCTATTTTCATTCACCTCTGGCGTCCGATCTTTAGAAAACTAGTGGACAAAGTTACAAGGAGTTATTGTATGCTAACTCTTCTCGGTATTTCTTTGCCCTGGTACAAAGTGACGTTGCGTAATAAATCTTACTAGTACTTACCATAAACACGAGAAGACTTCAAATCCGATTAGTTATTATCCGAAGATCACGTTCAGCGAAAGATATCCAATTAAGTATCACTATTATAGATAAATTACAAACATCGGCTAGAATTGTATTTATGTTTGTGTGCCATGATAATTACAAATGTATTGACTTAGTCCGAGATAATGCCATGTACCTAATTAGTTGCCATGGGCAATATGCGTGGTTAGAACAAAATAAATATAAATGTTTATCTTCGCTACGTATTATCTTTCGGCTAATTATTATATTATTTGTATTCGACTGCCTCTTGGAGTGGGTTTTTCTTAAGGGAGGAAAATCATCGAATGACTGCTCTCGCCTGGGTGAGGCGGGAGGGAGTGTCAGACTTTTACTGACTAAAAACCACCCCCGTTCCTTCTCCTGCACGTCGAGCCGGAACCCCAGTAACCCGTTAAGTTCTCCGCGACTCCGAATCGTCATCAGCCCTAATGGGCCCCACCCCATCCGTGGTGGTCTGATGTCTCTTTGAGGCGCTCGCGGAACGCGACGCGTCATACGCTCGGGTCTGGTTCTAGTCGGGCGGCGAGCCACCCATGCTCGCCGTCCGCAGGGCCGCGCTTACGGTGGCCGGAGATCGTCCCGCGATCCCCGAAGCCCGGATTGTCCTTCGCGATAGCTGGGTTGAGAGGAGGCAGCGCTTCGGTGCCTCACGCGTGCCGCCTCCTTCTTAGCTAGTATGACTGCTTCGCAAAGCCATGAGGTTGAGTTCAAAACTTGTGACGGGCAAAATATTTATAGAGTTTTGATTTAGACATTCTTTTGTTGTTTGAAATCGAGCACGATGGTTGACAAAAGCTACACAATTTTGTCGCAATGGCATAACATGAGTGAAATGATTAGTCAGATTTGTTTGTTTGATTGGAACTCAGAATTTGTAAAATGTTGTGTTATAATTCGATATCCTCAACATTGTCTAGAATTTCTTATTTGTGACTCTTTAACTCTCGTCGTTTAAGTCAAAAACTATTTGTCGGACTGAATGACCATGTCAGTGTCCTCTTTAAGTTTTTTTTGGTCTAGACCAGTCGTTGTCTGGCATTACCGTTTGTCATTCTATGACGTGTAAGCAAAGAATGAGGATTTTCCAGGCAGAGTAGAATACAATTGTCACCAACCCTGCTCGTCCGGCCAATGTTGCTAGAGTCGACAAATGAACCACACCGAGACCAGAAGCGTCAGTACGAGTTTGTTTTACGATTAAAGTAATCTAAACGAGACCGCGTCCGGCACTCTAATTGGTTGGTTCTTTACTCTAATTTTTTCCTAAGTTTTACTTGGATTCTTTGTTTTTTGAGAGCAGCATGCTTGCAATTTTTATGATGAATGGAATTCCTGTCCAAAATCTGTCTTCGAGGAAGTTTTTGTCTATATTGTGGATCGGATCGCTTAGTTTATAGTATTTGCAGGCCAGAAAAGTGGACGCATGTCTATGCGATTTTCTCGTATTTAGGCGCATAATTACGTAATAGGTACCTGGTATTGGAGAAATAACCATTCATTTTATAGTATCAAGTACTAGCTACGCCCGCGCGGTTTCGCTAGCTGCGCGGCCCCTATTGATCGCAGCGTGATGTTTGATCTATATCTATAGTCTTCTTCGATAAATGGACTATCCGACACAAAAACAATTATTCAAATTGAATCAGTAGTCCTGAAGTTTAGTATACAGATGGGAAATTAAAGGAAAAATTTATTTGGCGTCGTCGTTATATCACAGTACGTAGGTATATATTATAGATACTAGTTATCTTGCGCTGTCTAGGTACATGTTTATGTTTTATTGTTTTGAATATTTATCTCTAGATATTCCGAGTGGATTTCCTTTGTTTGGATACAATTTCCTTATCGATAACTCAACGTAGTTCGGTAGTACATACCTACTTAGGATCGATGGTTTGTATCATTGTTACGCACTAGATCATAGTAATACAATTCCAATAAATTGTAAGCAACATAATTATGACTGAAGTTTGTTTACTGCTGTAAAACAAATGCATGTAGATTTGACATTAGATCAATTCATTTTCATACATATGCCGAAAACAGATTTTGCTAATGAAAGCAAAGTTATTAAACGAAAATGTATAGAAGATCTGTGCAATTAATTATTAACTTGACTTTCATATCTAAGTACATATAACTGATAAGAACCTATCATATTGAATAAAATGTATTAAATTATCACTTTCCATTGCATGCGCCATATCGTATGTTGATAAAACACAAACATGTTTACGGAAAGGTCATCGGTGCCATGGAAACATAATAAATGCTAAACAAAGTTTGCACTGAGAATTTTGGCTTTTATCTTGTAAGCAATAAGGTTGCAAAATCAACGACTTCGATATTGTGCTACGTAGGATGGAATAAAATCTACAGGCTGTTGCGAAGCGCTAGCGTCCCGTGTTCCTTAAGCCGATGACAAAACGTACGGGACCTGTTGAATGTACCGTAATGTTTGCGTTTTCGTACCATTCATGAAACTTATAGGCCACTCCATTGTACGCCCTTCCCAGGTTAATAGTACGTAAATGACGTATGATATAATAGAAGTACGTTAATAGCGAATACGGGCTTTGTAGATGGTAGTTACAGAGAAATATGGCATTGCTTAGATTCAATGTATCTAGTTAAATAGGGCCTAATAGATCTTAATTTTTTTATGGATCTTAATTTTTTTATATGGAAGAAGAGATATGATTGTCTCGTTGTGGGGTTTTAAAATTTCATTTCCTTATTACCGTCATAACAAAGTATTTGCGATGGTATGATGACGATAATGAGTTTAACTTAGAATTCAGTTGGAGTAAGGTATATGTAGGTCATAACATGATTTACCTAGCGAGACCTACGAAGACAAACGGCTGCAAAGAAAATCAATAATTGCAACTGCGCAGAGCGCACTTCGATGTTCATTGAAGAGGTGAACTCAGGGCATTCTAGAAATATGGAGTCAAACTTTATTGACATTTAAGTATACCTATTACCCACAAATAGGTCACAATTTTCTTTATATTTAACGTCGCAAAGCGAATTAGTTTTCTAAATTAAGTACCATGTTCAAAGCATAGTACACGTTGATAAAAAATAATTACATTTCGTCTAGAATTTTGCCTCAAGCATTTGCGAATTGTCTCAAGTTTAGGTTGAAAAAAATAACATAGACAAAGCAATGTAATGTATGCGTAGCGAAGTTTTGCGACATGTATCTAAATAATGTATATTTTGAAATATTAAAATTTGGTTTAATTATTTCTAATTTCAATTTAAGACCTGTCTAACATCGTGGTAATATTTTTGGGAATAGAAATTGGGATTGTGAATAAACCTTAAAAAAGTGTATCTCAATATCACAAGGATACATTTTTTTTATTTGTGGCTAAGTACTCACGTACACACATGTAATAGCCAGTTAAGGTTGAAAGATAATAGGGTCGCAACGATCGCCGCGTCGTTTATCGTTCAGTATGGCTCCTAGCGTAACTTGAAACTAATCGGGTTATTCCGTCAAAGAGACGCGTACATAAGTAAACCATTAATCATAATAATTTGAACGTCTCAAGAGAGTTATGAATAAAATAGATGCTGATTCTGTATTGAAGGAACTACTTCGTAATTCCTCTCGAATGTTTGTTTTTATTTTTGTCATGTGTACCTAAGCCCGATTAAGATTATTGAATGCATATCCACCATGCGAATAGATATCAAACCTGTTACGATACCTAAGTCTTTTGCCCCTAGTCTGCAACAATTTCCTTTTCTTCACGCAGATTGGAACTTCGATCATGTACATCGGTTTGACGCTGACCTACGTGAGCAGCTTCCAAATGTTCAGAGGGTCTATCATCATATTTGTTGCCGTGCTCTCCATGACTTTCCTGGACAGAAGAATAATTCGGCGCGAGTGGGCTGGCATTGGTGAGTTTTTTCTTATTTACGTGTTTCAAATCATGAACAGGTCAGTCAGCGTTATTAGAGATTTAACCAGGCTGTGCATCATATACTGTACCTATGATGAAGATATGGGCTGCAAATGTCAAGTGTAATGTGACAGATACTTGCCATTAATACTTATTATCCCCTCCCCACCTCACAGCATCTAAAAGGTAATCAAATTGTTTGTAAACAATTTAGGGGAAAAAATGTCCCTTCGACATTCTCGTCGATGCCAGCTATGTTGTACTCGAACGGCCATAGACTTGAGCGAAACAAAAGTACTGTTCAATGAACATAATATTGTTCTTTCGGAAACGAATGACTTAAACCGGTCCTCGCTCGAGGTTGTTCTGGAGTATGTATAACACTGGGGCTACCCTGTAGTTTGGTGGAAACAAATTCAAGAAAGGCAAAAAACCAAAGTTTCTGACCTCGCTGGATTAGCAAGCTAAAATAAAGGTTAAAGGTTGGACGGTCTTCGCGCGAAGAAATGATGACGGATGGGTTCTGGAGTATCTAAAGTGGAGGTCTCGTCTAAACAAACGTACTGTATGTCACCTTCCTGCTAGGTTAAGGTGCTCATTGTGGTTGGTACTGGTTGAATGACAATATTGTAGACCAAGCTCAGTGACGGGGTATTAGAGAAACCTAAATTCAGCAGTGAACTACTTGTGGCTATGTCAAGGAGTTGTAGTTGACGAGACGAGGTGACACGTGCAGCCCTTTAAATTAACGGTGAACTTACTGCGATCTCCAAATCAACTGCTTAGCAGGAGGCTTCGTTTCACAATTGACGTCGACGACTCATAAGAATATTTCTCTTCATCTTTTGACCGTTTTGTAAAATTATAATGACAATACTCGTGATTGATCTATCATCATCTACCCACATACCTCCTTCAGAGTCCTCTCCGAAAAGAAAACTTTATTTATGCGTTGGGACTTCATCAGTATCATTTCTGCGCCTGGTTTCAGCTATTCTATTTATTCTTTCATTTTTGAGACGCTGCAAAGCTACAGCAATCTATTTTTTGATGATTTAAGTCTTCTTAAATCAACAATGGGGCAGATAAGTAGGGTCATAGGCGTTGCTATTCAACTATTGACTGTATACCCGCATACATATTTAAATTAATGTATTTATAGTTTGTACTTTTTTGTTAACGAAACGTAATAGCGAGTGAAAGACTGACCTATTTACGGTGAAGCCGTCTAAGTGATTCTTGATAAAATAAACATAGAACTTCAAGTGACTGAATTAGAATATGGATATTTGTTTCTCGGTAGAGGACTGTTTTGCGTAAAATATTTTACTGCACCTTAGTGACACCTCGGAGGAAAACCTTTATATTATTTATTGATTTGTTAGAATAGGACTAGAAACAGAAGTACACTGATTGTATTGATTGTCAACGACTGACAAACGAAACATTATTGACCACTTTCGATGCTAATGTTCTGACGTTTAGTGTACACTTCCATAATAGTTACTATTTAAAAATATATTCAACTTATTATGTTTTAATAACATGGACCCTGGTTCCTTCCTCTCTCAAATCCCCAAGCGGTCACCGGTGACTACGACAAACAAAAGAGACGTGGACACCAGCTTTCTTTAAAATCTTTAATTCGACTACGACTACCAACGTGCTACCAACCAAGCGTAGGTAATATTTACCATATTACTCGCTGTTTACGAACCTTTTAGAGCAACAGATGATGATTAAAATTATCATACAAGCCGTATTCAAAAATAACTGAAATATGTCACCCGTGATTCTTTAAAGCCATGGATACACTAGGGGACAAATGTCGCACGACATGTATAGCGACATGGCAAGCGATGCCGGCCGATGTCGTCTGACATATTATGGCGACAACGCGCTATTTATGTCCACCGCAACGTCAATGTTGCCAAACATGTCGACTAAAGTCCGGCAACATCGCGCTAATTCAGTCGACGACGCACACTAGTGTATCTTTAGCTTTATTTACTCTTTCCAGCAAAACGTAGTCATTGTTTCTTTTCGTAGAGAGGTTGTGACCATTTTTTTCTTTTTATTTTAATTATGTTTATTGATTTAAGTACCGATTGTTGTTCAATTGTCCACTGTTGCAGCAAAAGTGACACGGGCAAATAGGTCAAAGTTCTCTTGATCTTTGAACTTGGTTCACTTTGGCACTTACACGTGTCTGAGTTTTGGCGCTAGACGTTGCTAAGGTCAATTTAGAACACGATAAACTTAGGCAATGTTTCGAGATGTAAAGTACTTTCGAAAAATTGGACATAATATCCTAACATTACTTTAAAATAAATCGCAAACAGGTACCCTAATGAATTCTATCTTCCCTCTGGTTTTCAATTCAAACGCAGCGTTGCTACTTTGTTCTGTGCACCTAGTTATCTAAATATATGCACTCATATCGATCGCGTTGGACGGGAGACTGCGTGGTGTGAGTACCTATATTATAGATAGGTACTTATAATTTGTTCTGGAACTATCGATGGCACACAATTATATTATAGGCAAGTCTTCTGTGCCCTACTTCAGGGCTGTCCACACAAAGGCCCGCGGGCCGCATGCGGCCCATGGCTTGTTTGCATGTGGCCCGCGACACACATTTTAATCTCAACATCTTCATCTTATGTGCAACAACAGTAATAGAATTCAGTGTATAATTTACATGCAAGTTTTGTCTGTGAGTAAAGAATACAATGTTAAATGTACTGTAATATATGTATTACAACTGAAAAAAAAATTCTAGCCCTCCAGCTTTTGTGAGAATGTGAATTAGCCCGCGAAGGTGCCGATTCGGAGTAGCGGAGAACCTAACGGGTTACCGGGGCTACGGCTCGACGTGCAGGAGAAGGAACGGGGTGGTTTTTAGTCAGTAAGAGTCTGACACTCCCTCCCGCCTTGCCCAGACGGGAGCAGTCGTTCGATGAATTCCCCCCTTAAAATAAAGCCCGCGAAAGTATATAGTTTGGACAGCCCTGCCCTACTTAATACTAAAGAACAACTCTACGTAAATTAGGTAAGAACCGTGCCCATGCAGTGATGGAGGTATTCTTTGCGACATTATTTAAGTGGTTGGCTTTCTTCTAAACTTAATTTAATTATTCCTTATAGGAAGAGCGGTGCATTAACCTCAACATCATTAGAAAAATTAAAGAGCTCTCTTTCATATTTGAAATAAAGTCTATTTTGGCTTGAATTTTTTATTTGTCACTTTAAAATGTGTAGAATTGATTTGAGTAGGCTCTTAATCGTAGAGAAGTGACAAAACAATAGTACGTTCCCGCTTTGGGACGTAAACTTAGCGGGATGTTGTCAAAACAAAACGTTGCTTGTTTCCAAATAGGGCGAGAATTTTCCGTCGCCTTGGGAAGTTGGAATCTGAGCACAATAACACGAAAATAGTTTTTGTTTACTGCAAAAGAAATAGCTTTCTTTTTTAAACACATAGCAGAATTACCTGTTTGTTTTCATAATCAACAACAAATGAACAACTACTGTTAGACTATGAGCTTCTAAAATCCATAATGGAGGTGTCGTCTTACTCGCAGTCCTTTCAGTCTTAAGGGTATGTATATCTGAGATTCGGTCCCGAGAGCGTGGGTACCTACACGCGCTCATCATCATCAAGTGGAGAAGGCGTCTGTGTTAGTGGACAGTCCTAATATAGACGCCGATTCCAGTGAAATTATCATGACGTAACCGCCTTCGAAAAATAATAACGATTTGATATTGTGCTGTTCTAATTATGGAACCCCGACAATGATGTGTCTCAGTTTTGCTTTCGTTGGTATTATATAGGTCACTTGTTACACTACTTTCTCTGTGCCATATATTGGTAAATGCAACAGGATGAAAGTAATTTTATTATAGTTGACCGAACGTACGTGCTTTAGCTTGCGCTCCCCTCAATATTACAAATTATATAAAATTGGTTTACAATAAAACCATATTGAATGTGTAACTGTGTAATTGGTTGATGAATGTACAGGACTGGTAGAAAATAAATAGTTGATTGATCAAAATTGGTTTCAAGTCAGTCTCTGGATTGAAATCGATTTTTGACATACGTTCTCAATTGAATTTCTGTCATAACTCCTAGTTGATACTGTGATTTCTTAGGACTAAGATCGGTTTATAATTTCGGTCGTTCAAAGTTACATGCTCTTAGTATTAGGAACAACATTGTCTTAAGTAGGTACTTGCCTATTTTGCACGTGTAAAATACAAAGTTTAGTCTAGTACCAAGTTAAGAAAAAAAGGTTCAAACAACTTTAATAAAGACTGTTTCGTCTAACAACTACTAATATTTCAACAGAAACGTACATAAATGGCTGCATTAAAGATGTAAAACGGTGGCAGGAGCCACCTTTGTTTAAAACCCGTACCTATAACCTCGAGTGACCTAAATGGTGTTCAAATACCTCGTAGCACTTGGTAGGATGGATGCTGCAGCCCCGTTATAAATCAATATCCGACGTCTGTATACAGTACAATGTGCAGTTCACCCCCTCCCCCGTCAGTCCCCCCTACCTCGTGTCCGCCGCTCCCCCGACGCGCCACCCTCTAACTGCACACAGGAGATTGAAATTGTAAAGCGTACTATACGACACGGTTATTATGATTTCAGAGTTCCGTGTACAACTTTATGGAGCTAGATTATTTTGTAGTTTAGAAGTACTTTTATCTAGCATATCTATTACGTATGTCTGTCGTAACATATTGCAATACTGACCAGCAACGCTTGATAATCCACTGGTAGCATGAACATCGTATAGCATTAAGAGGAGCCAATAATCTGTAGCTTCACCCTTTGGCAAGCGGCTTAGGAGTTTTTGTTTGAAAAGTTAAGTTTATTCCATCTTTAATATATGCTCTAGTTAACCCTTGAGAAACCCGCGGGAAGAATACGAGGACCATTATATTCTACTCGGCTGTTACAACGTGGCAGTTCCTATCACCCAGCACCATTGCAGACTCAGTGAAAATAAAAATCTCAACATTTTGATCGGACCTCTTATCGTCATCGCAGCTTAAAAGTGAAATTATCGGCCACTTAAATCACAATACAATTAGCAAAACTTGGCATCCACTCATTTATGAATGGCTCGGCGACCGACGACATAGTTTGCCTCATTCATATTCTCGAACCCACAGGTGGTTGTGTTGTAGCGATTGTGTTTATTCAATCCCGTCTTAGGCATTGTCCTAATGTTTGACTCAATGAGCTTGTAACACAATTAGTTTCACGACGTGTATTGGATGGAGTTTGATACATTAATTGTGTAGCTTGCTCCTAATTGTGTCTGTTTACCTGGCAAATTATGCACAGGGGGAATGTCTATTGTCGTTTCCCTAGTGATTACGGAGTTCTGAATAGATAGGGTCTTAAGTAGCTAGGGGTGACTGATGAAAGAATGACGCACGGGCGATATGAATGAGTGTTGATATGAAAGTGAGGAGGAGGAAATAGAAAGGTAAAAATAATCGTCACAGTATGTTTGGTTTGAAGTGCGTGGGGTGAATAACAGAAAATCTCAAATTATTATGTATCTCGTACATTTGAATTTATGTTAAGTGGGAGGGAGACATGGAATTTTGACACAATGTATTGAGTGCAACTTAGTCAAAGGTTCACATTTGCCTTTATTAATTTACCTGTTGAGTTTCCATCTTGCTTATTGAGCTTAAACTTTAACAATATACGAGAAAGACGGCCATTTATTATATTGAAAAATTTAATTAATTCCAAAACTTTAATGGTATATCGGTTCCGTATACGCCAGCGCACTTGACCATTTTCTCAGAGGGGGAATGTTAGGGTGGCATAAACCCTAGTCTCCCTATACCGCCCCAGACTCACTGGACTTCCCATATTTAATATAATTGCTACTTTATACTACCTACGTTGATTTACGATCGATAACGCTTGCATCTTTGATGTTTACTGCGTTCTCACCCATACCACTGCCCAACTACTAAGTAGGGGGTGAACCAACCACCCTCCAATATCTATAATTAAGGGAAGCACTTACTTTGTAGAATATTACGTAGAAACCTTTTCAAAGAGCTGAGAAAAGCTTTGAAAATGCTTCTCATTTAATTACAACAGCGTCTGTTTTGCTCGCTTTTCACTAAGTTTTATTTTTAATATTATGTTGGCATGAACTGCATTGTAGGGGGTTGAGAAATGCCTCGTGGAAGAGGAGCGGTTTTCTTTTTCTTTTGCGTTTGTTTACTGAAAGTTGTATTGAATAGTCTAGGAGTCCCCGCGCTCTTTTACACTTAATTCTTAGTTAGGTAATTTACTGTTAGCTTTCAGTTTCTTCGTGTATAAATATTCTACTATTCGTGACCCTACCAAAATCTGCTGTCACTTCGAATACCCTTTTTTTTTAAGGGGGTAAATCAGCGAATGACTACTCCCGCCTGGATGAGGCGGGAGGGAGTGTCAGACTCTTAGTGACTAAAAACCAACCCGTTCCTTCTCCTGCACGTCGAGCCGGAGCCCCGGTTACCCATTAAGTTCTCCGCGACTCTTCGAATACCCTACCACCAACTCATTCTTCTACACTACCGAACTTATAGCCAATTTTAATAACTGATTTCAATCTAAAATATGTGAAATAAGGTCGCTTTTTACTAGATACTCCATACAAGTAATGTCGAGAATCGATCCTTATCAACAGATTTTGCCTTGAGAGAAGTTATTGAAATTGGAACCGTAAAAACGAAACTATGTTAGAATGTGCTGTCATAGTATAAAACATACCTAATGAATAAATAATATGAACCTAACATCTGTGACCAATGAATCATTAAATGTTTGCTCGATCCGTTTACAATTTATCTACATAACATGAGTCACTGAAATTATGGAGAATACAATACTTTTGTTACTAACGTAAAATTGAGCATCGGTAGTTAATTATTGCTTTATGAGTAAAAAATTGCAATCAAGCATCTGGTATCTGTGATATTTTTATTGGATTTTCGACCTAATGTCGTAGGTAACAAAATTGATGGTGTGTAACATCTTTCACTTATGTTATACCTTGCTTCATACTATTTTGTTGGAAGCGCATGTCAACAAATACAACCGCCATGTTTACTCTCCTGGGTGTGCACGACGTCTCCAACATACATCTAACTAGGTATTTAACTAGGGGAGCATCCCCCCAAGCAGGTATACAGTAGACATATAATAATTATAAGCCTGTAAAGCTGATTGAAATTACAAACTGTAGATGAATCAAACACAACACAAAGAGTTGGTTTCAAAGTAATTATTGTATAATGTTAATTACAAATTACAAATTGGAATACAACACAAAGACTCGATTTCAAAGTAATAATTGTGAATTGGTTCTTGTAAAGATAAACTCGGCGTGTTTGTGACAATTCATATTAGTGTTCAATACGCTAATTCGCATGTGTGTTTAATCCGTTGCCAATTTAACACACAATGTAATGAAATAAGGTTTATTTCGTTTCGTTATTCTTGGTTTCAAAATTTGTCGGAACACGATTCAAAATTCTTAGGAACACAGTCTGAATTCGTATTAATTGTAACAAACACCTTATATCTTGAAGAAAAAAGATATTAAAGTAAGACGAAAAACATCGAAATCCTCTTAGCAAAGGTCAATAAGACGATAACAACTCATTTAAGTGTCTATTCTATCTCAATATTGAAAAATTCTTTATTATTTTTTTCCAAATGCCTGCCAATATACTTCAATGTACTTTCACATTTTTCACAGAATTAATATCATTTTTGCTGTCGAGGATTCTTCAAAAAACATAATTGGTCTCAGGTACCTCTTAAGTATGCTTATAAAGAAATTAATAATCGTATTACAGATTTTTACAAGAAAATACATAAAAGGTTCTTTGAATATTGCTAATAGGTTGCCAATTAAAAGTAAAACATAGAAATGTATGTGGGTGGGTGAACCTTGTACTTACATTGATGTACGTACCTCTTGTGACAAGTTTCTGAGCTTATTAGTCCAGTCGCAGATCAAATTGCTTATGAATTTTTCACTTAGTCATCTTATAATTATGTGCTATGATACAGATCTTTATAATTTGAATCACCTCTCTCACATATATATATACGTGGCATACGTGATCATGTTCGTGAACGGGCGCCTTCAAATGGGACTGGTCAGCTCCAGACTGTATCATTTTTATGGTTATTTTCTTTTTCGATCTCTTTGACTGGATTTTGGTGTTACATTGTTCTCACACAATTGAACCAATAAAACTATGACTGTATCGTCACACCTGCTCCTCGTAAGAGCCGACTAAGGGACTACATACATCTGGTCCTCCTTGTCTTGTTGAAGGGTCCAGGGCAGAACTGGACCTTCGCAAACTGTTGATGAATTGCCAACATTATTATAGTTAAGTTGTTTAAGTGTGAAAGTGCCATGCTTGGGCTAGCTCGACCGATGTAACACCACAGCCTCACAGAAAACCGACGTGGAACAACAGTTGCGGTGTGTTTCGTGTGAGTGAGGTTACCGAAGGCCCTCCTCCCCGAATCCCCAACAATCCTCAAATTACTAACCCTACTAATAGAAGTGTTAACTCTGATGTTTCGGGTGTCCATGGGCAGCGTCTATTGCTTACCATCAGAATCACCTGATAGTAAGCTTAGCACTTAGGCGAATACCTAACTATTCTCTTGAGCATGATGTGTTAGCCTTTAATTGATTGTTACACTAGCAAATGCATATTGTATCTAAACCGATTTGTTGTAATATGATGTATAAACAGTCGTTGGCTGACCTAAATAAATAAGCAATCAGCGCCGCCGATTATTCCATAAAAAATAAAATAAAAAGTACCTGCTAAATATCTGTTACCTCGTTTCAGGGTTCGTTATCATCGGTCTAATAGTGGTTGGTGTAACGGATGCCCTGTACCAATCAGCTGGAGAGGCCAAAGGTAGGAACAGCCTGATCACCGGAGACCTGCTCATCATTGTCGCCCAAGTTATCTCTGCCTGTCAAATGGTGTACGAAGAGAAATACGTCGCTGGTAAGTTGTATTTAAAAAGAATGCTTCCTAAAGTGGTGGTTGTCAATTTAATGCAATATTTGTGCGACACTTCTTCCTACATTATACATTTCTGGCTTCAACCACTTTTATGTAGCTTAAGTTGTATATGGTAGACAGTGTGCGTATTGCCATGTATGGATTTTATTATTGGATTAACGAGGCAAATTACTGTTAATGTTAGTTCGACCTGTATCGTAATAAAATCTAAACATCGGAATAATACACACTTTTAATAGCATCATCATGAAAGGCAATGGAATTATGATGTAGTAGTCTAGTAATGACCAAACAATAAATTGTGGTACCATCTAAGCAACTATGAGTTAATTTTTTCCTTTACAATCTTGTCACCTAGTGCTATAAATAAAAATGAAATGTTTCATGTCTTTCAGGCACGTGTTGTTTCAATGTACTGTGTAGGTATTGGAACATTAAATGTTTCTTATTTGTTGAATAGATTTGTTCGAGATGAACTTACGAACAAAGTACACTGTTTGTCCCAATGTATTTTATATTCGTCGGAGACAAAAATAAAAGTGTCCATAATTGTAAAGGCGCTATAAGAAGTCTGAAACAAAGTGTCTCTAGTCTGTATATCGCCTGTGGGGTTAAAATACATTGGGACCTTCATATCTAAACGCTTCTTTAAAAAGGTTACGTGCTGTGTCGATTATTTTACACCACCGATCATTAATGTGATGGCTCTAAACATCCTAAATGTCTTAATAGAATATCCGAGAAGTAGTTTTATGATACTCAAGCTACTGCTCTAATTTTTCCAGGTCTTAACATTCCACCACTGCAAGCTGTAGGATGGGAAGGTGTCTTCGGTTTCTCGGTACTTTCTTCGCTTCTGGTCGTGTTCTACTGGACTCCTGCCCCTCCCCACTTTGGCAACAATGCTCGAGGAACCGTCGAAGATGCTATTGATGGCCTGGTACAAATCGGTGAGTACGACAGCATGGTTGAAGAAATGGTATGGTTCTTACAAAACTAAATCAACCACATCCCTGTGTGGTGTGGTGGCCCGGAGGTTCAGGACGCCCGTTTCTCATGCACGAGACTGTTGGTTTGAAACCTACCAACGGCAAGTAGCAATGTGAGTTTTTGCGAGTTATATGTACTTTCTAATATTATTCAGACGCCACTGACAAACGGTAAAGGAAAACATCGAGAAGAAACGTGAACTTATAATTTGTAATTATAAGTTTGATACCGACAACCCGCGTTGAGCAAGGTCACAAGAAAGATTTATTTTTTTATTTGGTTCAAGTAAGGCCTTGAATTGACGAATATACGAATGGTTTTGGTCTTAAATAATACTAATCTTATTTGACAGATAAACTCAAATTACACGACTCAAAAAGTAACTTTAAAAACTTCAAAACTTTACCCTATCCTAGTCAATTTGGTGTTCCTCAAGGAAGTATCTTGGGTCCCATGTTGTTTCTCGTCTATATGCAATATGATCTCAATGAACTTCCTCACGCAGTAAATCAGGATTTCATTTTGTTTATAATAAAAGTAATATTATCATCAAATAAAAAAAAACTAACTGTTCGTAAAGCCAATAACACTACTGTTATATTGTTTTGTTAGTATTCCGATTCCACGCACGTGTTGCATCACATTTGTAATTTTGTAGCTAAAATACTATTGTAAAGCTCACAATAGCAGCACACGATTTTATGGTGATATTATCATTTTATATACTACTTATGCCTTTTATTTCATTTCTTTGTTTCACACTTATTAACGACACACGCGGTGAAAGAAGTAGGTATATCTTCTTAATATTTCAGTACTACCTATATAAAATATCATTAAATCTTTGTTATGATTGACTGAACATGATAAAGTATTACAAAAATATATATTACAATGTTCGTTTACTCCACTATATTACATATTTCAGGCAACAACCCCCTGATCTTGGTAGCGACTTTGGGCACTATCATTTCTATTGCGTTCTTCAACTTCGCCGGTATCAGCGTCACCAAGGAAATGTCTGCTACTACTCGAATGGTCCTGGATTCTATCAGGTAATCAGTACTTTTTTAATCTTGAATAGGTTTCTTCACATTTGATGACTTTGTCCCCTGGACCAGAAAGGATGATATATTATGATGATACATAATGAGTATATATATATTTCTTGTTGACAGTATTTTTTGTACCTTATTACGCGTACGGTATATAGTGGACTGCCTCGTCGGCCGAGTGGACGCAAGTGCGACTGCTGGTCAAAAGGTCTCGGGTTCGATACCCGGGTCGGGCAAAGTTTTACTGGGTGTTTAAAAATCTCAGTAGTAGCACGGAGTCTGGAAATGTGCCCGGTATATGGCAATAGGCTCACCCACTATTACATGGGACTCATAAAATAAATAGTGAAAAGTGGGTGTTATATTGTACAGTGGCATTAAGCGCCGTAATTTGCACCTCTGCCTACCCCTTCGGAGATAAAAGGCGTGATGTTATGCTTTATGTTGTATAGTGGAAGTAAAACCACGAGTAAAGTACTCGTATGGGTTCATAGGACCTAATTTCGAGTGTACAGAACTTTGAAAGAAGCAGTCAGCACAATCTCAATTTTGATTTCGTTAAGTAAACACTATAAAATACGAAAACAAATCCCCAGAACGTTCGTGATATGGATGGTGTCTCTGGCGGTGAGGTGGCAAACTTTCCACTGGCAGCATCTGATCGGGTTTGCCATCCTGATCTTTGGCTTGTGCGAGTACAATGGCGTTGTACCTCGATGCCGTCGCGCCGCTCCAGAGCCTCTCGCTGACGATGCCGAGAGCCAGGCCGTCGTCACCGAGCCTGAACCGACAGATCACGATACAGAGGAACAATAGGTAAAGCATTCTTTACCAATTCAGTGTCCACAACCATCATATCAAGCGCACACGAGAAATTTGGACTGGCCACTGAATTTGTAAAAGAATCCAAAGTGAGAAACGGTTATGCAGTGTATCTTATACGGGAACATTAATATTTTGATGATGTTTACTATAAAATTAGAAAATTTAATGACTTTTCGGTAATGTACGGTTATAATACTCTTTGTAATGTTCACTCGGCAATGTGTATGTTTTATGTCTCAGTGTCCAAAGCTATACATGTGAAATTAATGTATAAAGAAGATTAGTTGGTGTTCACAGTTCCCATACATAAAATTCCAAGAGAAGTAGCAGATTAGTCTTCTTTCTTGTTCAATTAGACTGTTAGATTTTTATCCGTAATATGCAAATGTTCTGTGGTACTTGTATCATGGCCGTTGTTATATTTATGACAGTTGTTACACATGATCCACTCCTAACTTGCCAATCAAAATAAGAAACGATTTTCACTATATTGGAATCTTCATATATTTTATAGAACTATTGATGTTTAAACGATATAGAATGTATAATAAAATGTATGTTTAACTGTACAGCGTGACTTTTAAGTAACTGCTTTCCCGCAGTAGAACAATTTGCCCTCAATATGATCGTATCAAAATATAGTTTGATACGATGTTAAGGGAAAATTGAAATTATGTTTTGGCTAATGTCTTTCATGAATACAGTATAATATCAGGTGATTTACAAACGCGACAACACTGACTTAATAGTCAGTTCAGTCGCCTGCGCCGTTTAATAAAACAGCTCATGATGATGACTATTCTATCTAAGAAGATAGATCGATTACCATCATAGATTGTACCGAGACAAAATCAATTAGCCACGGGAGGGCATGAAAAATCACGCTGTATAAACCTATATAGATGTTTGTTTTTATACATATTAAAATATAATGTAATGTGTATTTTATATTACTATATTATATATATATATATATATATTACAAGATTATGATAGATAGAATGGCATTTGTCAGTTACAAATCAAAAGAAGGAACGGTAGTCCAAATGGTGATAGGAAGTGATGTATTTATATTATATCATATACTTAATATAATATTAATAAGTGTATATGAATAGTAATTATAACATTATACGACTAGTTTAAAACGTTGTTAACTTATAAAGAAGGTTAATGAAATAAACCCGTAGATATATGACAATAAAGTAACCGGTGCATCGTCATATGATTTTAATAGTTCGCAAGGACTGCCTCGTTGGTCGATTGTTGTGTGTGACTGTCGAGCAAGGGGTAATTAATTCTCTGGTCAGGCAATATTATTGAGCTTTTCGATATTCGAAAGGCTCTATAATAGTAGGAAGTCTGGATTTAGACCTGGTTTGGCAATAGTAGTTGGCTTATATAGTGCTACATTTTACATGTGCACACGTCTTTCTCCTTTAGGGGGTAAAAATTTGAGGTTATGCCTGATTCCAAAGGAACGGTTACTTTTTGTCCTCATTTACTCGTTCCCTACACTCCATAGGCATTTGCCTCTAATGTGTTGTCCGTATAAGAATTTTAGAAGAGTATAAAAAACAGATCTTAGCTCAATTCGTGTAATTTTTTATATTGTAGGAATTAATGAAATAATCGATTAATATCAATTGATTCGATGTCTTACACTTTATGTCTAAGTTTAAGGATTTCGGTATTGTACCATTGTTGCGTATGTCACAAGCTAATATTGCACTGTTTTCGTAATCCAAGAACATTTTTCTTGAAGAGAATAAAACAGTATACCCTCTCCACGCCGCAATGGAACAATGCCTTCGCGAAACTATCAGAACTAAAAGCAATATTACAGTTGTTATTAGATTATACACGCTGGTTAGGGAGCTAGCATACTAGTATTTACATTCAATAGTATAAGGTCTATTTTTGCTTCCATATAAATCTAATACATTTATTAATAAAAAGTAGCTTCCAATCTGACAGGAAATTAAAATTACGACACCAATTTGTTATGAAGTACATAGATTTATTATAAGAATTTAGTTGATTGAACACACTTGACTGGTATCGACCTGTGTGTGTTAGCCAACTGGGGTTAAGGTCGTAAACTGAACATTTGATCTGTAATATAAACGATCACTTGTTTAACCTGACTGCCAATATAAAACGCACAATACAAAAAATACCTTGTGTCTCATATAAGTAGATCTATTGTCCAACAAACGACGGTATGAAATGATATTAGATCGAATGAGTACTAGGAATTTACCAATATGTTGTTACAAGTAGTAATGTTCAGGTAGATACTTAATTATTTAGCTACCATTGCTAGGTATAAAAAGAATATTTCTCCAATCAGTGGCTTCCACTAAATCTTAATAGAATGGCAGAAGACGTGAATAGCGAATATTGGAACTGTAGACTCGTCCCGCCTCGACTTAAGTAGGCGTAGAACCTAATACTAGTTACTGTAATAGTAAAATAATCGTTGTTTTATAGTTAACGAGTTTATTTTCTCAGGTTATTGTTACAGAATACGATATTATTATGTACGTCTCCAGCTTCCACGGTGATACAGTTAGTTATTGGTTTAATTATGTGTTCGATTCGCGGTTGTGCAATTGTTATTTTTTCTAGTTGCAAGCAAACTGTACAGTTTTATCGACTTCTTACATCTTCATCTTGATAGATTATAAAATATATTATTGGATACAAGTTATTCGTACACCAAAGAACTTATTATAATTAAGGACCAATCATAATGAACTTTGATGGTAAGCAATAAAGACCTTTTTTGATAAACCAGATTTTTAGTGATATTTACATACATATATTAGTATATACTACGTAATAAGAATTCAAATCTAGCTCCCTAACCATACAAACAGATTATTGAAATATATTATACTAATATTATCACAAAAACGCATCTAAATGTATTGTAGCATCAATAGAATGTAGTTAGCTGTTAAGGAGTAATTACTAATGCAAACGTGTTATATTATATTCCAAAAAATATATCAAAGAAGCTACGAAATATATTAGTTTGTAAAATTCCTAATACCCATGTCCCGAGCGAATAGTAACGTAATTAAAAGCAATAAAACGAAATATCACTGATTTTAAATAGATATAATAATTTATAGACCATTATAGTATATTACTGTTCAGACTTCTTTACATATACATATAATAAACACATCGATTGTTAACAGAGGATGACTTTTGAAATATATGAATGTTTTATAATAATAATATAATAATAGGTCGCTGAATGTCTAGATGTTTTTCGAATTATCTACACCACAATAATATTTCTGCTTGAGCACTAGTTTTCATTGTCTACTTCTAGAATATATAGTGGTCTAATTCGTCCGTCTAAATGTTTATCACGTCTTGTTGTCCAATAGCAACACTATGTTATATTTCCTCGCCCTATTATGTTAAACAATACATTAGAAGACGTCTATTCTGTCCGTCAGTTAAATATTAACATAATGTCATGTATTTTATCGAAGTAAGAAAATGAATGAACATAGTGAAAAGAAAATCGGTTTCGTGGAAAGAAAAAAATATTGCGGCTAAAATTGTCGGCTTGTCCCTTAATGTATGGGAGTCAGGTGGATCCCTGACTTAATATATGGCAGATCCCTGAAGGGATCCACTAAAGTAAGTGACGTTGTTTATTTAGAAAAAAGTACGTGGGTGAATGTATCTTCCTCAATCTAACAGACGGACAACAATACAAAATTCGTCATCCTTATTATAGTCGTTGCACCTTGTCTTTTAATGATAGAACTTTCTCAAATTATGTAGAACAGAGACAGATTACGCATTTTTAAGATACTCGGATAATCATAATAAATGACTATTTGCGTATTTTTAAATTCGTCACCTGCCCCTGTTCTGAACCACTATGGCGAAATTTAAATTTGTTACTTAGGAATTTTAATATCTTTGATTATATACAACGGCTTACTTACGCAACTGTTTAACAACATTACCCGATTGGTTTCAAGCCACATAAAGGGCTTATAACCACGAGCAGTGTAATATATGTGACGACCAGAGCAGCCGACATGAGTCAACTAGTTTGAAGCCACGCTGGGGGCCTTTAACCAGTCGTGTGGCTAAACATGGATCCACACGAGACCGTATTTTCCAGTATCTTCTATTGTGTCTCATATCGGTGCATTCAAGCAGTTAATAAAACAGTTGTGTAAGTCAGACGTTTATTTTCGACTTAATTAATGTCTTATTATATTCTGTGTTCATAAAAAGTTTAAAAGAGCTCTACTATAGTGCATCCGGATTTAAACTGTACGTGCCAACTCTTAGTCCATAATACTTTTAGCCAATCGACTCAATACTTTGATAACATTTTATGCTATATTTATGCTATGTGCTTTTATAATCCTTCCATTTTAAATTGCAGTTTATTAAGCAGTTTAATATTGTATATTGGTGAGGTTTTTAAACGGTTTCATACTTGAAAGAAACTTAAGCTGATTGTGATTGATCATGGCGAATGCTTTTTAGTTGTTCAATTTGGTCGTTAAGGCAGGGCGCAAACGTGGACAGTATTAAGTTAGACACAAGCTATTGATGATTATAAGAAGTACAGTGAAATACAGTGTGAAATACAGCACTCCCTGTGTGTCCACTTGCTTCCACTCAATGCCTACTCAAAAGCGATAACTGAAAACAGAATACGTCTTACGTTTGCGCAGCGCCTACATCAAGTGCTCGTGAAAGTTTAAAACTGGACAATGGGTCTGCAAAAGAACCGTATGTCTTAGCAGCATCTTGTTTGTAGGAGAGCGTTGCTGTCCAGTCTGTGATGACCGTTTACCAACAGACGGCTCGTAAATTCTGTTGCGAGTATGAATATACAAAAGTACATTAAAACTTAGTCGTTTACTTAACACAATGAGGCAATCATGTAATCATATTTTTGTATTATAATTACGAAAACCGTTCTCAAAAGTACATTTAAAAACATTGTCAAGTCAAACATAGCATGCTTTTCATAAAGTATTTTAAAAGATAATAATTATTAAGTATAGTAAACATATCATTACTACTAGTTTTCACTGTCTATTGCCTAAGCGTTAAATATGCTCTGCGACGTACTTCTTTGCAAATGTTTAATATTATAGATTGCTCACAGCGATAGTCTTTCAATGCTGAAGCCGGCTTAAAAACCTACAGTATGACAACATTTTACTGAATTATTATTACTTATACTCAATTCAATGTGCTATTAATGTAATAAAAAATGTTGTTAAAATCGTGTATTTTCAATGATAACTATAAAAAACCATTAACGTTCCTAATAAGTTTTGTGGGGTTTTTGTGATCCATTGGAATAGCGCCATCTAGTAGAGTAGCAATGAACTTTTTAGAGGCCAGCAACACTGAACCACAATTTTGCTTGTCTTTAAAAATAGCGGCACAACCCCATCTAATAAAATACCTGCGAACTACGTGATGGACGACGACGAAGTTTACAACACGATTTTGCTTCAAGATTGTCGTAATAGTACACGGTGAGACCAATAGATGGTGTAAAATACTGCCATCTAGCGGATCAATTGTGAACTAATAATTTCTTCAAAATGTCAATAGATGGCACTAATTACAAAAAAAAATATTTATTTTTTATCATTTTATATCATTTAAAAATACATCTACACAGCCTAGAATATTAATGGAACAGTTGCATATTAAAATACTTCCACAATTTATTAAAACCCTTTGTTATTATATGTCAAAGAAAACAACAGCTTGATTCAAGAAATTTATTTTATTTGTATTGTCACTAGGTACAATACCTAGTTAAGATAATCAAGAAAAGAAAGATTTTAGAGAAATAATGGTAATAAGTCACACAATATCACTATTTCCACCCTTTTAAGTCAATTTTTTAAGCTTTTTATTTGTTTTTCTTTTAATGTTTTTCGTAAGATCATCAAGTATTTTATTAAGTTTCCCATACTCATTAAGATACCATGATCCTATGGCCAGGGTCGTGCAGCAAGACAATTACACTAGTTTTGGTTTCACAACCAACTGGTTATTAGTAACCAGATCAACCACAGAATTTATCCTGATAACTCACTGTAGACAAACTTTTATTGACTTATAATGTATATATGTGAAGGTATGTATGTATGTGTGTGTGTGTATAGTGGAATCTTGCAAGTTAACATTGAAGCAGATATCTTCAACTAATTCAGCTAAAATTTTGTGTATGTACATTCTTAGATCGCATGACCATAAATGCTAAAAAAAAATTTAAAAATATTTTTTATAGGTTAGGATATATCCTATTTTGTAGATCATGGTATATATATTATGTATGTACCATGATATGGTATGGTGTACCTATCCTAATAAAATAGGGTACTGAACACAATTTAATTTTTTTATTATACTCTCATGAGACGTATTTATTAATTACATTTAATGGCCTACCCACATAATTGCTTGGCGAGGTAACTCAACCAGTTTCAAGCCACACTCGGGGCTCATATTCATTTGGGGCAAACGACGTGGCGTTCGTCGCACAGCCAACCAATAACGTGAGTAGGCACCTATTTAGGGTGTAAAACATAATTAATCTTTATAATAATATTTTAACAAAATGATATGAATTCTTAATATTACACCTCTATTAATACAATACAATATTATCTTGATGTAATATGGTGTAATATTTCGACACCATTACAGATATATGTCAGGCTTTCGCTGCAACTCTTTCTTTTTCTGTCACTTTCAGCTTCTGCCCATGAGCTGTAAACAAGAATAACAATTTAAAACTATAACTGGATACTGATATACACAAGTACCTAATGTGGTAGGTACTTAGATTTTGTAGTGAAATTACTACCAGTTTCCTGCGTCAAAAATAAATCATTTTGATTTATCAATATAATTATATATTTGAAAATCACTTGCATTCATTGATTTGACGATACATATTTTAGATTTAATTTTTCAGAAATAAGTGTGGTTGTGACAAAAAAATATGATGACGTCAGAGGTTAGTATTTTGTGCAAAGGTATCGTGTTTGACCGATGTGTCAGTATTAATTATTAATAATCATAAATGTTATGTTTATTATGCCAATAGAGGTCACTGAGATCATGTGTATTTCTTTGTGACTGTTACGGATTTGCCAAATTATCTTAGAACGTAGTCAGGTAAGTATCAGCAAAGAGGCAAAAAGGAAACAGCTTCCCCACACTTCCGTTTTAAAAGATATCTGAAAGACAAAATGTAGCAGCGAATCGATAACAAACTAACAAGGTATTAGAAACCTTGCTGATATTACGTCACAATTTGAGAAACATAAGTTACAACCATTTATTTCAATTAGACCAGAAACCTTTTTGAACTTCAAAACAATAATTAAATATAAAAAATTTAAGTCTAGACTAAATCACTATAGGACTGGCGTTGGCCAGTCCTCTAGTGAAGCTACAGATTTGCTCGTTCCAAAGTGTTCCTATGGATAAGAACGAACAAGCAACCCCATAAGTTACTCTTTTTCAGTCAGGTTCACAATACAATTCTTAGTTACATTGTTTCGCTGGTACAATTATGTGAGAATGTAACACAAATATCCAGTGAAAGAGATAGATAAACAAAATTAAGCTTAGATAAGGACAATAAAATAATGCAGTTTGGAGCTAACCCGTTCCAATTGATATAAAATACACAATGGCTTTTTTTTATAATATTATAGATTATTCCTCCACGGACTCTAGGTCCGTGCCCTTGTCATACAGTTTTTTTTATTATATTTATAAATACATAATGTTATAGAACTCGTACCTAACATTTGTCCATTTTCCCAGTAATAATATTTAACGGTGGGTATCCCCCGCTTTATCGCCGCCTCCCTGTGTTCAGTTTTCAGTGACTTTCGCAAAGTATTCGCCGCAATGTTCGAGTAATTGACGTAACTGCAGAAATTAATATTACATTATTTCTTAGGAACTTTCTTA